TCCAAAGCAACCACCAAAGGCAAAAGGCTGCACATGAAATCAATGCTAATGAAATCAACATTAATAAAATCAACACAACCTAAATATATATTTTAGGTTATATTTTAGGTTGGTGTATGGAAATTTCAATTGTATCATCTGAAAATTGCCTGATGTTGACTGCTAATAAAATAAGTACAAATGTTTGAATATATGGCTTAAATATAAATAACACCAGAGAGTTTGGGGTRGTAAATATGCATGTACTTTATCCTAGGTTGTGATATAYATTTTAATCATTTTGTTCACTTGAAATATCACATTTTATACAGAGTTTTAAAATGTGTTTTTAAATAAAGAATAGAGATCAGTGAAATGTTTCTCCAGTGGATTCTTTCAAGTGAAAATGTATGAAACTGCTATAAAACCAGAGTTAATACACATTTTAAAAATTTTTTTGACTTAAATATATATTATGCGGCATTTTAAGACAGCATTGTGGTAACAACAAGATGATCAAAATCACAAGTCATTGTGGAAGTTCACAATGACTAGTTTTCCAACAACAGTTTTAAGAGATGAGTTAAATCAGCAACCATTTGCGTGTGTGTTTTGTGGTCACTTTATTGTTATTAGTTTAACCTAGAATGGAAGAAGACATCAATAAACAAGATGGTCAAATACATAATGTCCACAGTCTAAAGGAGAGTAAGCCAGAAACTAATAGCTCAACTGTAGACATTCACAGCTAAAGAAAATATCAAATGTTACATGCTGTTCACATCTTAAATTGTAGTTCTTGAAGAAAAGCTCATTTCCCAAATGAAAAAAGTCCACCATAACTGAAACATCTCAGATTCTTGTAAGAATTTGTTATCATATATGCCTATGATAAATACCTCTCTCAAATAAACCCAAATCAACTACATTTTTAAATAATAAATCAGRAAATATCTGTCATAAAGGGCAATTTCCACTGAATGTTTGTCTTTCTCAAATATCTACCAACAGGGTCAAATTTAACTAGGAAAGTCAGTTTTTAAACTTCAAGTTAGTCAGAGCTTGAATGACAACACACACACAAAAATAATCATCTTAAAAGCAAAATAAATTGTACAATTTGAAGCAATTACTTAAAAATACTGAATAATATACTGAAGAAGATATTTCCACTTCTTTCTCTATTTTCCTTCTTCTTTTCATAAATTTAACCAAGTAATATCTCTATTTTCACAAATACATAAAGTAAAAGCCTAGGTTCAGAATTTAGGAAAGATTATTACTCCAGTGATCTGTGGAGTGAGTGGTCTTTTATCTCTCAYGATGTTAATTAAGAGCTTATTTAATGCATTTACATTTGGTTATATAGCAAGATTTTCACTAAGTCATTTCTAGGAAAGCTTATATTTTGGGAAAAACTGTCACCTCAAAAGTAGGCTGTCCATTTTGTTCATTAGTAGTAACTGCCCACTCAGCACCTACAATAATACTGAAGGAACCTTAGGTTCCTTAGTTTCCTTAGGAAAATCCCACAAAGACTACTTTTGTAGAAACTGAGAAGCCAAAAGATGTCAGATGTGAGGAGGGTCCCTCAATCCCCAGTGTCATGAAACATGCTACTGGAGAGTCCAAGGATTCTTGAGTAATGCATACCTCATTTTGCCATCCAGGATTGGAGAAATGGGAAAGGTTCATTCCTATGTCCTAATGATAAATCAGAGCATGGTGAACCAAAAATAGCTGTCTTGTGGGGGATCCTATCAGTATCAGTATAAATAGTTAATTTTGGATGGGGGGTTACTAGGATTAAACCCAAAGGTACATTATCACTGAGCTTTTATAAATAAGCTTTTATTTATTTATTTTGAAAAAAAAAGAGTCTCACTAAATTGCGTAGGGCCTCACTAAATTGCTGAGGCTGGCATTAAACTTGTGATCTTCCTGTCTTAATCTCCCAAACCATTGGGATTACAAGTGTACACCACTTTGCCCAGCAAGTAGCTCATTTATGAAAGGACTAACCACTCCTCAAAATAATGTTCACCTTAGGATTCACTTGAATGAACTGTTTTTGCTCAGTAATATATGAGGCTTTTCCCTGTTGTTACAAATAGTTATAGATTCAGGCCAACTACAGTTGGTGCTCAGTATCTGAGGGTTCCACATCCTTGGATTCAACCAGCTGTGGTTCAAAAATATTCAGAAAAGAAACTGCATCTACTAAACATGTACAGACTTTTTTGTCATTATTCTTTAAACAATACAGTATAATAAATATTTGCATAGTGCTTACATTGTTAGGCATTATAAGTACCTAGAGATGATTTAAAGAATAAAGGAGAATATGCATGAGTTACATGCACCATTTTGTGTAAGGGACATGAACATGTGCAGATTTTGGTATCTGTGGGGAAGTCTTCCAATCAGACTCACAGACACAAAGGGATGACTGCACTTTCAAACAAGGTCCTTGGTACTTGTTCAGATTACATAGATTCTTCTCTGGGCTAAGGAATACATATTCTACTTTTTGAAGATCCAATTGGTCAGTCTATTGAGTTATGTTAGACTAAAACCTAGTTTTCTATATATAATGAAAAAAATAACAGATTTTTCTACTTAGTTTTCACTGGTTTGTAGAAATATCACCTGGAAATCATCACATAATATTTTATCTTTCAAAGTTGATACAGTTTTTAAATTTTTTGACCAGTAGCCATATGTGTCCATGATATGCCATCTATGACCAAGAACAACTTCCTCAATTATTTTATTTTGCAACTAGCGAATTGTGTTACTCAAAACTGTCAAAGTTTAAGGCATAATAAAGAAAACTAAGAAGGAATGTCGGTATCTTTATAATTATGTACTCAGCTTTCCAAAAGAAATTTAAATTCAATTTAGATTAACTTTGTTCAGAAAATAATATGTTGAAAGCAATTCAAGAATCTCATGTTGTTGTCACACCAAAGTGAGCACTTCATAGACTTTACTAGTTTTATCTAAAAACAGAATTCAATCAATGGACCTCAGTTATTTACCTTATGGAAAAATGCAAGCAATATGGGCCAGAACCCATGTATTTTCCAGAACATAATACTATAAAGGCTCAAATATTTAACATACAGTAAATAACAAGCAATGCAGAACATATTTTGACATAAATGTTATTACATGAATCTTATGTCTGCCTATAAATCATTGGAGTTATGATTCTCATTCAAGGTGCTGTCTTTTCTATTTGATGCCTTCTTTCTGATATCTTTCAATTATTTTCCATAAATATTTTTACCTTATGGCGAAATTGGCTATTTGAATACAACAGTTAATAGATATGAGGAACTACAAGGGAAATCTTAGAAGCAAAATATAACAAATGCTTTTCTATATACCTGTAACCTATGAGAATCCCTTCATTACCAAGCAATATCAATTATAATAAATACCAAAATAACCACTAAGATTTAGTGTGTTGGTAACTAAATTACAGTGAATATATCTGCTCTTCCTGAGTTGGACTTATTCCTACAGGTAAAATCCCACTAATAAATCAAAAAGATGTGTAAATAAAGTATTTATTTAAAGGCACAGCCTTGCAATGACTGTTACKATAAAACAAAAATATTCAAGGGATTTCAAAGAGAAAAGACCCACTTTAAAAATAGTCATAATTTAATGGAATTCTCCTCAATTGCATGGTAGTGATATGGCTATTTTTTTTCTCCCTCACAGTTCAGTGAGGAAAAGTAATTATCATGTAGTTTACAACATGTGTAATTTGTGTATAATTATAAGAGATGCTCAWTGTCTCTATAAATACTTATTGAAGCAGCAAATAACTGATCACTGCCAAGAAAGCTAAATGCAGGCAACACTAATTTGAGATTGTCTGTTCCTCTTTCTAGTCCTTCTTGCTGTTCAATTTCATGGCATTTGATGTATACAAAAGTAACAAAACAAAGGAATGGTATTGTTTCTGTTTTTTGAAATGTAGACAGATTCAAATGATCATCTAAAGGTAAATTTTAGATGATCAGACACTTCTATTCTTGGTAACTTCAATAAAAACCATACATTTGCAAAACAATGATTGTCTAAATATTTTTAAAGACATCAAGTGATTTTGGTAGTCTTTTATTAAAATAAAATACTCTCTTAAAATTCAAAATGAACTGTCCAGAATTTATTTTTTGTGAGAACTTAACTTGAGATGGCAGCTCTTAGAAGGGGGCTGATATCTGTCATTAGTCCTTCAAGGTCCACTGCCCACCTTTGGTCTCTGGGAGGCCAATCTCCATGGGCAGCATCCCTTTGCTCTCAGTTTGGTTTGGCCATTGGAAGTAAGCAGCATGAGAGCTCAGGTTGAAGGACAGTATGATGGGGGCATTTATTGCCCTGGCTCCTCTTTGAGATTGACAGCCTTAGACTCATGCTCCTCACACTTCCTTCTATAGCCTTCTTCATATAGTTTTCTCTTCCTCTGGGTGGGGTAATTGTGTGGGATTTTAAAAGTCTGTTTTAACCTGACCTCGGATACTGTAAATCCTTGTTCTTTTCTTTTATCTTGCTAATACCTTTTAAAACCACCTTTTATTAAAATCTTTGACATTATTCTAATTTTATTRTGTCTTCTCTTTTCTGTGAGACCCTGACGGTTACATTTAGTTCTTATTTATTCTTTATGAATTTCACTGATAAACCAGGTGTACATATGAACAAAGTATTTAAATACTTGGACATTGTATACCAATGACATAGCAAAATATAGCACTTAATGAATGTTTGTATCATTTATATATCCATGGAATGAATTTAACTAAAAATGTCTAACTACCATCTAAAAGTTTAGATTTCTAACAATAATCAACACATTAAATTGAAGTAAATACTTTTAGTTATTCCTATAAAATTATTGAATTGCTTACAAAGAACACACAAAAAGCTAGAAACTAGATATGTTTACAATATTTTCAAGAACAAGATTTATCTTTACAGATGTATATATTAGGAGAGAGATTTACCTTTTCACCARTTTCTCCTTTGCTGCCTTCAAAACCTTGTTCTCCCTGTAGAAGAGGAGTGTGGTATGTATAAGAAAATAATATTTATAATACATATAATCTTAAAGTAAAATAATGTTGCTAACAATGAAAAAAATCAATAGTTTAATATAATAATTCCTACTATGTAAGCTCTAAGCCAATATTCAATAACACAGAATTAAAATATTCCTAAATTCTGAAAGAACATTTTTCTAGTAGCTTCTAGGCAATTTAATCTTGATAAGCCTGAATTTTCCCATGTATAAAATAAGTATGCTAGTAGTTAGTACCTGGCTCATTGACTTGTTTTGAGAGTTAAACATATCATCAGCATAGAGCCTACCACAGACTATGTCATTCTTGTTATTATCACTACTTATTATATTATACTAGATCCAGGAGAAACACTTCTTGGAAAGCTAATGTTGCTATATCCTTCCAGTGAGAGTTTCAGGATGGATGAGTTCTGGTTTCATGAAATTCTGCTCCTGCTCCCTSCTGCTCCCTCACCAGCACAGTGCTCTCCATTGTCCCTCTCTCCTGCCTTTCAGACACAAAAAGGACTGGTGGTCACAGAGCGGCTGCCTGTTAATTGCCACATTTATTCTTAAAAATGTAAGTCCCCTTTTCTTCCAGTAAATCCTCTCTGATGCAATGAGCCTACTTCCACTTTCAATTGGGTATAGATTTTGAGAGCACTCATGTTCCCTCCATACAGTCAACAGATATTCACTGATGCCTCCTCCATGTCAGGCGCTCAACAACATAGTCAGCAAGTGACTATTGGGGATGGGTCATATGCACCCCTCTACTTCTGGAACTCTTTGACATAAAAGCATTCAGGAAGCATTTCCCCAGGGCACCAAGACAAGAGGTCAAGAGTTTCTTATCTCCAGTTTGTCTATAATGCCTCTACAAGGTGACACCTGGCATAATTTAAATTTATATAAATTATATGAAAAGGAATGCCAACTTAATACTGTATACATGGTTTGTGAATGTATAATTTGATACATGTACATACAAATACATGTGATGGGTACCCATATACACATATATGATTAAATAATTATTTTTGCTTTACCTACTCTCAAAAAAAATTACCAGGGAAGATAATAGGTTAGTTGAAAGATATTTTTACCACTGAATGTATTGCCTATCTTTTTTCCCTACCATTTTTCCTAAAATATAAACTTTAATTTGATCCGTTAATTCAAGCTGACATTGAAGCTGCTAAATGCCTCCAGTACATCAGCCACAATGTCAGCATGATGCAGCCACCACAAACAGCTGCTGGAAAGTCCAAAACTATTTTCCAGCAGATAAATCTGCACATCCCTTGGCTTGCAACTCGACTCGCAGATGCAGCACATGCTGTATCAATGGGTTTTGTCTAGAACTACTGTGAAGAAATTCTGAAGCTTACCAGTTCATCACTGCCAGTTCAATCTTATTATCTTTATTGGGCCAAGTAAAGGAAGCATTTTTTTAAAGCTGTTAACTATAAACAAATGCATATCTTTTAAAATGATATTTTTAGCCACACAGAAAAAATCAGTGCCTAGTAATTTCTGATACCTTATTACAAAAATGTGTAAAAACTTCTCCAGAACATATAAATGATATGCTTGGCTTTGCTGGGCATCTAATATTGCATCAATAATGCTGTCCCCTGTGGTGGGATTATCTGGGTTGTATCATGACAGCTGGCCCCACCTGAAGTGACGCCCATCCTTCCAGGAAACTGAAATATACCAATCTACATGCTCGTAGCTATGCTGGTCAAATTCAATCATTCTCTTTCCCAGAAAGAGAAAACAGTCTTTGGACAGTAAAAAGGTACAAAGAATGTTCACTTTTTTAAAGAAAAATATGCTGGGCATTGAAAGAAGCAGCCTATCCAGCAAAAACCTTCTCATTTATCATACATTTGTCATTCGGAAAGACATGTTTTGGAAAAGACTGTAATGACTTTGTAATATTTAATATTTTATCACTGCAACCATCATATTGAGATAAACCTGGAATATACAAAAAGAAGGATAAATAAAAAGTAACCATATCCAAAGGCATTAAAAATTATTCCACTGTACACTGTAAGCTTTAATAACAGTGAAAATGTTCCCAGAGAAACTATCTGCACTTTCAGTATTTCCAGTACTCAAAATGCACTATTGTTCACGTTCTCAGATTGCCCTCTCTCCTAGCGTGGTCTCTCTGAGAAGAGACCACAGGTCCTCATTAACTTCTTGAGTTTTTGATGAAATTTGGTTTTATAAAATACATTTTCTGAATCTTTATTATAGTATGAACAAATTCAATTTTCAAGTTGCAAAAACTGCCTAGTTCACATAAAACATTAAACAAAACCTCTACCTTTTGACCAGGTAAGCCTGGAGCACCAGGTAAACCATTTTCACCCTAAAAAAAAGTAAACAGAATAAATTTTGTTAGCCACAAAAACAAAGACTTTTTTGTTTGTGTGTGTGTGTGTAGTCTTCAATAACCAACACTAATGTTGAGAAAGAGTAGCCTAATATTGAATATCTGTCATGTTTACAGACTTTCCATCTGTCCATTAGATCGCAACTCCAGGACTACCATCTCAACTTTAAAGTAGGGAAAGGGAGGGAGGCTTTTATAGGTTAATAGAATGCTTAAGGTCATCCAACTTGTAGCAGTACCTGAGACTTGAAATGATGTCTCACTGGCCACAGCTTGCTTTTCCATATGCTGTTTAGCATCCTTATTTTATGTTCTTTCTTTCAAACCTCTGGGCATAACATTAAAATCTGACACAGTGCTTTTTATGGTACAGGTGATGTTCCCCTAACAAACCTATCAGGTCAATATTATTACCATGACTGCCTTTTAGATGATGACACAGTAGGTGGTGGAACTGAAATTCTAATGCACACAGTTTAGCTCTGTGTGCCTCGCTGCCTTCTTTAACTGTCTCTGGGAGAAGATTTAATTCTGACTTGTGTCTTTTTATAATTTTTTTTTAGTTGTCAATGGACACAATACCTTTATTTTATTTATTTTTATGTGGTGCTGAGGATGAACCCAGTGCCTCACATGTGGTAGGCAAGCACTTTACCACTGAGCCACAACCCCAGCCCAAGTATCATCTTACCTAGAGTCTGAAATATGTATGTATACACAAACACATACATATATTCTTATCAGGTTTACTTTCTTATCTATTTCTGCTGATTGCCTTTTGATTGATTTTGTAGTCATATATAATGCCATTTTACATGAAATAATCACTTGGAAGAATTTTTAGTTCTTTCCATTCTTCTGGTTCCGGTCTTGGGGATAAAGGTTTTCAGCAGATGGCTATCAGTTTCCAATGCTGGAATTCATGGGTCTTCTTTAACAAGTTGTCTGTCTAGTCTGTGAACAGCACACCAGCTAGAATGAGATACCCCTGGGAGGATGTGCCCRTTCTCAGTGGAGTCTTAGGAATTTAGCTGGTTAAGAGAATTTACTTTGGCTTCTGAGTTTCCAGTTTAGGCAGTTCAATATTAACTATTGACGTCTTCCTTTTCCATCAAATATTTATAATTAATTTTAAAAATAATTTGTTTTAATCATTATTTACCTACAGTTAAATACCATTTCTAAAAATTATTTCAACAAAATTCAAAGATGTGAAAAAAAGTCACATCTTCAAATTTTAAAACAACAATCTAAAGAGATCTGTAGTTTCTGATTAATACATTTTTAACAAGTTTTGGTGGTTTTTATTAGAGGTATACACCTATACACATGCACACATGTGAAAGACTAAGATTTTTCTTAGATTAGATTAAATTATCAACATATTCTACAGTATAATTTCTATCATCACAGAAAGGCCAAAACTTTATGCTAATGTAATTAATTGTTGAAGCAACAATAAAATAGTTATCTATATAATAAATATTTCTATCATTTAAAATTATTATATTTCTAGATATTAGATATCACTCAAGTCTATCAGAAACTTCCAAATCCATGTGATAAAGTGATAGCAAAAGCACACTAAGTATTTGACGCCAGAGAACATTCTATGGAAATGGAGCTTCTATTACTCATCACAGAAGTATGTCCACTTGTCCATAAGCAGTGGATTATTTTCATCAGTTGAGCCAACATAATGGTTTATATCATATTACAAGTTACACATGATAACAAGATATGGCATATAATCCAATAAGTACACATTTATATTGCCAGAAATACTTTTTTGAGAGATAGAAATAGTGACAGTATCTCCTCTTTTCCTKTGTTCAGCCCACTCCTATGCACCATATGCTCTGGGCATTGGCTCCCAAAGTACCCTCTCAGCCCTGTATCAGGTTAGGGTTACACCCAGACACATGGTTAATTAGTCACCAAAAGTTTCTAAAGCTGTGATAATGATAATGTGTCTTTAGTTGACACAGGTTTTGTGATTTTTATAATTAACATATTTTCTTTTCTTATGATCAGTGTTAATTAGTCTCTCCTCTTTCTGGACTGGAAATTTGTTTTGTAAACATAATTCTAGCTTCCAAGATAATCCAATTCACAATACTATGCCATAAGAAATGAGCTGGCCTTGAGCGACATCAACATGTAGAAGTTTATGAAATATTGTTGGCGCTTTCAAAGCTTAAGTTTGGAACTTTAGTATTTCCTTTCCCTATTTTTCTTGAAGTTACCATAGATGACCTACTTAGACACTTATAATCATTTTTTAAAAATTGTCATTATTCTAGCCCCTGAGGGATAAATGAGCATATTTGTTTTTGTTTTTATCTTAAAAAAGGAAAGATTTATTAATTAGCATTAAGAACAAAGAAGGAAATAGTCCTAATTACTAAATTTTTCTTTAACAGATTAATGGACAATTATGTTCCATCAGAACTTTATCTAAAACCTAATTTATGTCAGAAGAATGAGTCTCTATTTATGTGCATGCTGAGGCACAGGCTCAAAGCCCTGAGGGTGCTCTAGGCAGCTTGGGTTCATATTTATTTGTACCTATAAAATAAATATCTGCCTAACATTACTGGAAGGGTACGTATTATTTGCCTTTTTTGAAATCCTGCTGTGTCTCTTTTCCAGTCTCAGTTTAGGAAAGAAATAAGATGCTTCTCTTTTCACTTCCAATCAATATTTTAGTTCATTAATGAAAGGAAATTATAATCAATGGTTTCCAAAGCAACCCTAATTTTCAAGAAATGTTTCTGAAGCATGTACTTTCTGTTACAGGTTTTTCTATCAAAGGATGCATGTCCTTTTGCAGTTACAATCTCAAACTACAGAAGGACAAATTAATATATATGTGTAATAAAAAGCATGGCAAAACTCTACCAGTGCTGCTGATAGTATTCTTGTCAGTGTTACTATAACACACAGACTCTCTAAACTTTGCAGAACAAACAAAAAGCACCCTTAGCAGAAGTCAAAATAATCTTTTTGAGAAACTTTTGGAAAAAATTCAGGTGAGATTTGGGGCTAGCTGATCAAACCAATTTCATGTAACTTCCTTTTTATCACTGTACTTTTCCTAGAAGTCATCATAGCTAGGCCTAAAACATAAATTGTTAGTTTTCCTGATTCTTTGCATATTGGGTCAATGTCTTTCTTATTATGTTGGATACATATGTAGAATAAGCAGGTAAACAAAGCATTTGCAAATACCTACAATTAGGCTGAGAAGGCAGAAAAGTTACATACTATGTTGTAGAGATTATTTCTTCAAAAATTTAGGTATTCAACCTTTGATTTAAAGGTCTGGTATCTTATAACTTTTTAAATTAAAATATAAAATTCCATTTATCATTCCACCTAGAGCACATTTTAGACAAACATAACCTTCTATGTACACTTTGAAATACATCAATATTTCCAGATTAATGAATTTTCATTAAAAGAAAATTAAATGTTGAAATAGCTGGAAGAAATTATCTGAAGTGGAATTTCAGAATTATAGCATGAAAAGCAATAAAACAGGCAGCAAAAAGTTAATCTGATTTTGCCTCTGTGTGTCACTAATGACACGTATACTTTCCTGACTATAGTCCTGATTTATTCAGACATAATTTTCAGATATTAAATTTTTATAAGGTTCCTAAATTGGTGGAGTTCTAATAAACACTTCAGAAATTAAAAAAAAAACATTGTTTTTTTTTCAGATATCTTATTCAATGAATTCTTTTATTTCAGGAGGAGAATTTTTTTCTTCTTTATTTTCTTCATTCCACGAAATAAACAATCAAATCAAATATCTATGTCTATATCTAATAGCATAGAATTTAAAACTTCAAATGTTTTGAACTAGATCCTTAATGCAGCTAACACATGAGATTTATTATTACACTGATGCTCAAAATAAGACCAATTTGAAACACTCTTACCACAAAATTGATGACACCCTCTTATTAAGTATTCTTATGAGTCATTTTGTGAAGAGAAAGCCAGCTACCACATGTAAAGTATGATTGATACATGTCTTATCCACSATAGTATAAGTATGGTTAATGAGTAGCAACTGAGCTCAATATCTATTCTGTTAAAAATCTATTATTATGAGGGTATGTATGTGTATGAAAGTATATGCARGTACATATTCCTATAAAATAAGCACAATGTATAGTCTTAAATATAAGGAAAAGTATAAATTCATATATTTATATTCATATTGCTACCAAGGATCTAATGAGATACTCTTAAAATCTCCTTTAAAAGTCAGGCACATTGGCTATTATATTGCACTGCAGAGAGCATAGGAAAAAAAAATCCATGTATGGTTACTGAATCAATGCTTTCTGAATCTACATTAACCTTCCTCAAATTTCTATTAGTCTTAATTCTGCTGTCTATAATTCCACAGCAAAAAAAAAAAAAATCTTATAGGTCTTATACATGACATCCTTTTGTATCACTCTCAAATCTTCAATTCATTAAAACATTATTTTTTAAATTATAGTTTGAAATTTCTTAATATTATGATCCCTATTCTTTGAGCAGACACTGGTCCGTCAATATGCCTGAAAATGTGGTACTCAAAACTCAGCACAGGACTCCAGAAATGGTCTTACATAAGAAAGAGCAGCCTCACAGTCCCTCTCTCACACACAGCCTTATTCTGGATACTATATAATATCAATCAACTTGCTTTTTTAAAATATATTTTGGGTTGTAGATGGACACAGTACCTTTATTTTATTTATTTATATTTATGTGGTGCTGAGGATAGAACCCAGGGCCTCACACGTTAGGCAAGGCCTCTAGCACTGAGGATATAGCCCCAGCTCTCAACTTGATTTTTTGGACAAAATTGTTACATACACTGAACTTGTACTCAACTAAACCATTAAGTTTTCCATTCAAAAGAATTTTTATCTCATGATCCTTTTGTAATTTAGCTAAAATGAAATTACATG